TGCACACATGCAGGCAAATGGCACCAGACAACATATTATTCAGGGGAGAAAAAAAATATGGAGAAAATAAATTACTCTTGGGTTTGCGTGTTTCTGACACAATGCTATCAGTAGAAGGAGGCTGTCATGTTGACTTCTCTTCCTGTGGATTAGCGGGCTTTGTTTCATGTTTCATCCATATTCCCTGGCCACAAACACAGAGAGCTCCAACAATAGGCCAGACAGGCTGGTAATAGCCTTGCCTTTGTTTGCCTCACCATTTGGGCTCACTCCAGTTCCCAGTCAAAATGAGACTTCACACTGAAATTAATTAAATGGTAATTGGTGATCTAATTATACTGGCTTTGACTCGCAAGCTGCTAAAGAAAATAAACAAAAAGTCCCTCCTTAATTATGTACGGCGAAAAAGGTCAGATTTCTGACAAAAATGCTTGGTGACACCCGCCCACTCACACTGAGACAAAAACAAATACACACACAGAAACATGCATTGCTAATGTGACACATTTAGTTTTCATCTTCTGCCTGCCCCAATCCAAATCTGATCCTGCTATAATTTGTGAGCATGCTGTTTTAGTTACATTTTGCTAGCAGAGCACAAATATATCCAGTTGCTGAGGAGTTGATGCCTTATATTAGAATTTTAAAGATTTTAGCCAAGTTTTAGGGAAAACTAGGAAATCAGCTTTGACCATTATGTAAAATAGTTTTTTTATGCTTCCAATTGTAGGGCTGTCATCACACCTCTCTATTTTAACAAACATATTAAAGCTATAATTAATCTCAAAATCTATGTTATTTGATACCTGGGCTGTGTAAACAATCTAGTTTAAATCTGACAAGACTGAACCTAGAGTCTCAGTTATTAAGACACATTTTCCAATAGAAATTTTTTCCTGTATTTTTTTTTTAATTTATGGTGGCCATTTCCTTCCTATGCAATTCTCATCTCCCTTCAGTATTCCATTGAATCCATTGAAGTGGATTCCACCAATCCGCAAACAGAAGGAGAAGTTGTGAATGATGACATTGATTTTCTGCGCTGTTTTAGAATTGTAGTCTGCCTGTAGTCAGTCAGTGTTGGTCATACTTCCAAATATTGAATTATCATTAATAGTGTCTCATTCGGATCTGTAATTCTCTCTCCACAGTGGAGGATGGTTGGCAATTTCTGGTTGACGTTAACTGCAGCAAAATTCAAAAGAAAATCCTAAGCTTTGCTTGCTTTTATTTATCTTTTTTTTTTTTGTTTATCTGGAGATCAAACATACATTGATATTACATACATTTTGCAAAGCTTACATGACTTCTCCGATTAATCTTTTTTTTTTCTGCGTGCACCAAGAGCACTTGTATATAGGCATAATCACAGATAGTTTTTAAATATTTTTTCTATGTACTCCAGTAGCCAAGCGACACAATTCTGTTGCCAATTTCACTATTGTGCATTTTGTAATGACAATAAAGTAAGTCTACATGTAAGTCTGTTGAAGATTCTCCAAAAAATAATGGCATCTTTTGTACCCTTCCTTCTCAGGAATCACTGAAAAACTGCAAAATAGCCCAAAACAGTAGCTAACTTTAGCATCTGTCAGCTAACAGTTAGCTGACAGTTAGCTTCCCACAACAAACACTTGGAGAGTGGTAATGGTCTCTTCAATTCTGATGTAACTAAATGTCATTAGTCCAAAAGCCATTATTAGCTAATTTTGTCAATATAACAGTGAAGTTCAGGATCGAATTCCTTTCTTAAGTGAAGTGCAGCTACACTTTGACTTAAAAATTTCAAAACAATCATCCACATAATAATTCATGTTGTCTTATTCATCATTTCCACCAGTAGTAGAATCTTTGTTATGTTAGTGACGAGTGTGATCATTAACAATTTTTTTTGATACAGCCAAAAAAAACACCTCATGCTAAAAACTTTTTTTTAATCAAAAACATGGGTTTTTCAAATTGTTTGTGCTTCCATTAAGCACATTTATGGTTCATGGAAACACAGCTGTCAAACTTAAAACACATCCCCTCATATAACAGCATACAGCTACAAGCTAGTGTTCAATGAGACAAGACAGATTTCTTTAACAGGAAATATTATAGTGTTATGATATCGTGAGATCTCTTCCTCCAAATTATATCTAAATGCTTTGGTGTGATGTCAAACATTGTTTATATATAAATTTCTAACATCAAAGGCAAAGCTGCAGCAGCATGTACAAGAATGACTCATTTATACTCTTCAAAAGGGATCTATTTCAGGTCATCTCTGGAGATGATTTTACTCTGCATCCTATCTGTAGGGACCACTGACCTTGACCTGTGGAAGTCCTCTTCCACTCACCCAGCCAAACGCAAGACACTTTCATCATCAGTCGATCAGCGCAGGCAGAGCTGCCCCAGAGTTTATTTATTTGAATAATAAAAAGAAAAAGAAATCCCAGCTTGGCCCCTCAAGAGCATTAATGCTGATCTCTGACACTCATTCTGCCGGAGGAGACGAGAGGTAGCAAACCTGAGATGCTATCTGTCACCCCAACCACTTTTTGTACACAAATGTACAAAAAGTAAATTTTCTGTATCAGAACCTTCGTTCCATGACCCAGTCTACACAATCGCACATGTGCTGCTTAAAAAGACAGCTTATTGTCAGTGAGAGTCTCCAGAGTGCTTACCGTCGATTAGCTGCACCAAAAGCGTGCGTGAGTGGTCTCTGGATGTCAATAGTCTCCTCACTGACTGTAAATAAATGATCCAAATGACACATGGACAAGACTCCTGTGTGTTTATGTTCATTGGTGTGCATTTGTGAGCGAGACTTTACATTTATGCCCCGCAGTAAAATTATATCTGCTCATTTGGCTGACTGAATGAACTGTCATATGGACTGAAATATGACAGTGAGGCTCCACTTCCCCCATCTTAAATATGACAAAATAGAGCCAACACTTAAATGCCATACGCCCCTGAGCCCTGTAGGATAGGGACTGAGAAGTTAACCTTATGGTGGAAAATAAGAAAATGTCCATTTTTTGCTTCCTGAATGAAAATATTCTGGTTTATTTTGTCATTTACATGTTTTACATTTGAGATGAAACTAAAACTAAATATTTTTAGGATTTTTTTTCTTAGAAGAAATTACTACAGCCTAGAACAGGGCTGCCCAAACCTTTTGAGACCAAGTCTACTTTTTCTCTGAATAGAAACTATATTGACTTATTTTATAGGTGAATATACATATTAAAATGACAGAAAATCTAATCCAGTTTCTTCCTCAGTGACATTCTGAAACTAGTAAGAAGGTTGTTGGTTTCTCATTCTGAAGCTGGTTGCAAATCTTGGACTAGCAGGTATCAATCAGTTATGGTAGATCTGACATTTGGTTTGATGACATCAAGATGAGAAATTTCAGACTGATAGAAAGAACCAAAGAACACTGTCAAATGAAATCACATCTTCTGAAGTTGGGATATTTTTCCTCCAACAGCAGATTCCAGCGGTGTCACCTCAAACCAGGTGTTGGACTGGATTTTATTTCAATGTCATTTATGCATGTCAGCTCTTCATTTTCAACAGTGGAGCCATATAGGCCGAAAAAGCTTTTCATTTTGGAGAAAATCTCATCAACATCAATATTTCTACTAAATAAGAGACAAAAATAAATAGCATGTTTGATAGAGGAGAAGCCTCTTAGATTCTGTGCCCAAAGCAAGATCCCAGAGAATAGCAAATTATTTTTTTTAATTTTAGACAATTTCATTTCATATAATTGTCACGGTATGGGGCCATTTGTTTGTTAAATATTTAATTAAACATAATTGTTCTATTTAATACTTGTTGTGAATTACATATCCTCGCAAACAAATGAGGTAATTAGTCCAAGTTTATTGTTTGTTGACTGTTCAGACATTACAGCAAAGGTAAAAATAACGTAAAATAATCAACTCAAAACCACCCATACCTTTTACTTTCTCTCTCTCTTCCTCCCTCCCCCAGTACTCTCTCTCTCTGTTTCTCTCTTAAGCACACTCATTGCTGTGGCAACCTCCTGCACCCTGCAAATTGGGCAAGCCTCCTAGAGATTACATTAAAAACATAACATTCAGTCTGTTACGATCTTAGGTTTTCAAGCCTGATATTTATTTTGCGATCATTAATAAGCGCTCTCCTGCACACAGTGGTGGTTGATTAACTAATTTTAAACTGTGCTAGTCAGAGAGTTGGTCTTTGAATTGACTTTGTTTTTATTTTATTTTGGTAATGGAACGCACAAAATAGCACCTTGTTGAAAAAATAATTACTATGATTGTTTTTGTTGGGTCATTTTGAACACGTTTTGTTGATTTTTTTTAATTCTTTCATAAAGTTGCAAATGTTTTGGATCTTAGTGAATATTGTTTTAAATTACAAATTAAATATTAATTTAACAAGTACTCGTCCCACTGGCATATTTTTTCACCTAAAACAAAATATTTTCCCCATTTTACAAGTGAAATAGTCTGAGTGGAACTAGTGCTTTTTTATTATTAAGTAACTATTGACTTAAAACAAGCTCCTATATTTAGCTTAAAAGTTACTTGTAAGTTTGATTTGTCTTATTTCAAGTGAGATACTAGCAACTCGACTTGGTAAGATTTTGATTTCACATGTATTTGTTTTTTTTTAAACATAACACATCTCTTCATTACTCATCTTTTTGTGCTGTTTCTCAGTTTTTTTCCCTGTATACTCAGAGAGGCAATATTTCTCTGGAGGTGGGTAGTGAGACAGGGATGGGGGTTGGGGGCTCATCCAGTTCATCACAGAGACACCAAATTGAATCTCAGATGTCAGCAGCTGTGCTCCAAACTACATTTACTGCTTCCCACAACAAACAGCTGTTTTTATTTAGCAGATAAATAAGAAGATGGAGGAAGGGATTAATGAATACATGTGTGCCAATTAAGACAAACAAAAGGAATGTCAAGTGGGAGGAGGATATATGACAGGTTGCTGCTCACCGGCTGCAGGGTGGCTTTGGGCTCTGTGGACTTGACATGAAGATGCGTCATCATGGCTTGCAGACGCTCTTTGTCCTTCGCTAGCTATTAGAAGTAATGACAAAATCACAACAATTTTATGAACAAACACACACAAATCTCTAGATATCGTTTTAAACGGCATCATCTTTGATTTAAAATGCTTATTTGAGTTGTGATTAAAACCCCAATACAAAATAAGGAGTTTTATTCTGATTCCTACTAAAATCTGTGGTCCCTTCTCCCTGGTCCCTTCTGAAAGTCAAACTAGCAGCTTAAATTATAGTGACAGGCTGCATGTGGAGGAAGCCTGGTCTGGTAAAGCCTCATCGATCCCTTTTGGATGATGAACCAGCAGATGAGAAAAAACAAGATGTTGACATGGTGAAAAGTAGGAGAAACAGAAATATCACTGCTTTAGGTTAACGTCCTCTAAACATTAACCTAAAGAACGTTAACGTTTAGGTTAACGTTAACCTAAACTTTAACCTAGACATTTTGGGGGCAATTATGTCACTGAAGTGTGAACTGCAAGTGAAAAAAGCCCAAATGTCTAGAACACATCATTTGCTTTTAGGCTGTCGCACATGCTAAAACGTTCAACAAGGATTATTAAGATTTTCAGTGAATGACTGCAACATTTTTTTGGGATAGTCATTAAAATCATTGAAATTGTCATTTTGAAGAAAATATGATCTTGTAAAATATAATGTAATTGTGATTGAAATCTTATAACATTAAAATGGTCAAATCTTATTTGACCATTTTAAATACCCGTATTTTCCGGACTACAGGTCGCTCCGGAGTATAAGTCACACCAGCCATAAAATGCATAATAAAGAAGAAAAATACATATATAAGTCACATCGGCATATTAGTCGCATTTTTGAGGGAAATTTATTTGATAAAATCCAACACCGAGAACAGACATGTCATCTTGAAATGCAATAAAAATAGAATAGAGGCAACAAGAGGCTGAATAATTGTACGGTATGCTAACGTTCCATGATAAACAACAAACTGATAACGTGCCTGGTATGTTAACGTATTAAGAATTATTCAGATAACTATAGCATAAATAACATGCTAACAGGTTTACCAAACCATCCATGTCTCTCCAAATCACTAAACACAATGAAATCTTCATCCTCTGTGTCACTTTTAAACAACTTTGCTAACTCCGAAGGTAGAATAATAGAGGCCTAGAGCGCCCTCTTGTGGTTTAGTGTGAAAATAACATGTGATATGATATAATAATGTGTTAATAATTTCACACATAAGTTGCTCCTGAGTATAAGTCGCACCCTGAGCAAACTATGAAAAAAACTGTGACTCATAGTCCGGAAAATACGGTACATTTGTGGGGTTTAGCAGAAAATGGTAAAGTTGATATATCAATATGGATTTCATTATGTCTAAATTCATCAGCTTAGTTGAGAAAGGTTTTGTTTCGCTAAAGTCCCATTTGCCCATTTGTTGTTAACAACAAGTTGTTAACAAGAACCAAGATCATGTAGTTGTTCCCATTCCATCTTTATGATACTTAAAATAATTTTATATCAGCAATACTGTATGCTTTCATTTTTATGTTTGTTTTATGTTCAGATGCTGTTAACCTAGCAAGCTAGAAATTCACTTTTTCAATTGAGGTTCTTTTATCTGCTAAGCTTACATAATTTCTGCTTCAAATATTCTTGAATATAAATATGCAGATTGTTACACCAGTTGCATCAGTTCTGTGTTTTATAAGTGAAAGACGACATTAGAGAAACAGTCATCTTTGTATCTATATATTTGCATTGATTTTTATGGAAAATCAGCATTATATTGGATAAAAAAGTAGCAAGAAGAGCAACAACACCTTTTTCTGTTCCTCTAACTCATCAACCAATGTCTTTCCACACTATGCAGTTAAGTCATTTCACAAGTGTTATATTGTTGGTGCCAAACAGTTACAGTCATAACTAACTCTAAAATTCTGTAAAATTTAAAATGCAGTGATCTTCTCTACTTAGCCTGAGGCTATTCATAAATCTTTTCCTGGCCGTTATGCATACATAACACATTTTTAATGACTTACTAGCAAATGCACTAAAGTATTTAATTCTACTAAACACCCCAACCTCCCTCTTCCACCTCACTCCTCTGCTGGTGACCCCACGGTCCGTGTCAGACAGACTGGTGGAAGGCGTTCGGCTGACAGAGGAAGTGTCAGCAGGAGACAGAGCGTAAATATTTTGATGAAAACAAGAGACATGACAATACCTGGAGCTCGAGTTGCTGGACAACCTGCATTTGCACCCGACACTGAGCCGTGCTCCTGTCGTCCAGGGCATGCTCGTTGTTGAGATGCCTGGAAACCACAGAATGAGAAGATGCATTCAGAGATTTGATTCATTTTTATTTATTTAGAGATTGTTTATCTAAGCTGAACAGAACATCATAATTGGAGCATCAAAATTCAATCATTTTCCAAAGAATTCCTATCCAAACCTCAAAAGCTTGGTGCAATTAAGCCCAAAATTATTTACATCCTTTGTAGGATCAATTTTTTTTCCTTTCTTATATTCTCAAACAGTGAAATAAAGGAGATGGCTTGTTTGTGCCGTCAACAGTAAAACAACAGCGTTGCTCTGCTATTTGCTTCATTTACTTTTTCTACTTCTTGGTCCACATGAACATCACTTTCTTTCTGAAAAGAAAGGAAGCCTAAAAGATTGGCAAAGTAACTCAAAATAACAAGCAAAATTAAACAGAAAACCAAACTAAGGATCCAGATTTATAGATTTAACTACATTTAACTACAAAGATTACACCATTAGCAGATTTAGGCTAAAATTGATCAATTTTAATTTGACCAAGAAATGATATTGCATCTTTGCAGTGACCCAGTCAGAATCCACTTCAGTCCCATTGCTGGTTATTGGATCAATAAGGTAAATGAGTGTGGAGCCACTGTAATAACATTTATGTTAATAGCGTCACATATTACAGTGATTGCAAAATGTCTCCAGAACAAAGGAATACTTTTTTATGTGAAAGAATGACAGTCAATATTTCATGTTGGTCATACCTGCTCTCCCAGCTCACTGATAAGAGGGGATGATTGAAGAATTTCAGCTTGGATTCCCTTTGCTAAATTATGAACCGGCATCCTAACGCCATGCCTTCCTGCCGCTGCTCCACTCTGCCTTGCCATGTTGACTTTGCCGCCCTTTTTTGCTGTTTGCATTGTTCGTTTTTATCATCAGAATTAAGAGGAATTCAAATAGAGCTGGACCAAAAGTAGAGGACAACAGGACAAGGAGATGGGGATCTGTCCCAGGCTTGAATTATGGATATAATTACGTGCAATTATTTTATTCAGGAAAGACGCTCTCTTTTCATGCACATTTATTACTAATCTAAAGTAGCTCGCTCGGGTAGGAGACATCCTTTTTTTTATTTATATAAAATGGCGGAGATAAGGCTCATGAGTGAAGGAAATATGATTGGAGGAATTTTATCAGTTGCCGCATGAATTACTGTTTGAAAATGCTTATGCAGGGGCATTACATTAATCATTTAATCATAATCCGAGCAGGATGTTTGAACTGATTTCACAAATACCCTTTCATTTCACTACTTCATTATGCTCGTTAATGGATCCAATATATTATATATATCATAAATTATATCACAGCTGCAGTGACCATGTAGGTCACTGTCATCAGACATGTCTGTGTGTGTGCAGGAAGATGGGAGAAAGGTGTTTTAGTTTTTATATCTATACACTGTTTCTGAGGTGTGCTGCAAATCAAAATGAGCCACTGGCAACTTCCGAATGCACAACAATGGCTTCAGTGCCGTTGCTTTATATTCAGACAACAACGCTTGTGTATCAAACACCATATTTACAGTCCAAAAAAAGAAAAAACATCTGAAATCATTTGGAAATATGAAGCCTGGTCTGGTAAAGCCTCACCAGACATTAGAAACAGCTTACATTGGCAGTAACCCAGAGCTTGACTTTTATGGGTGCACCAAAGGCTTTTTATTTATTTTTTAAGTGAATGTTTGTTTTGCAAAGAATTTTAATTTATATAAAACTCATAGGCCCAAATTAGGTGACGTGCATTGATATTTTGGGATTTAGAAAAAAAATAAAAACCCGAGAGTTTTTTTTTTTTATTACATTTTTAAATGAACACATCTTGCAAAAAAAAAATACCTTTTGTAATATATATATATAAAAATATATATATATATATATATATATATATATATATATATATATATATATATATATATATATATATATATATATATATATTTTTTTTGGGCAAAATGTGTTTATATATGCCCACATCATTGTAAATCTAGTCCTGGCTACTTCCAGCCTTGAGGTAAACAAAAATGTTTTCAAGGTTGTTTCCATAAAAAGCGCTTCAGATCGACTGAGGTACACTTCATCACTCGAAGTTAATTATTGTGGCGAAAGACAAAGTTAAAGAGGAATAAGTAAAAAAAAAATAAAGAAGCCTGACCGAAAACCCTATTTGTCAAAATTAATAGAGACTTCTCTCTGGGCCTTCCATTTGTTTGAATCACATAAGAGCCCATTTAATTAAGTGGGTCGGAAAATGAAACCAGTAAACATTTCAGGACATCTTACTATATTTCAAAGAGGAAAATAATAGGTAAAGACATTTCAACTTCAATTTAACCAGCCCTCAGTCTGAATCATCAATGAAGGGGCTGGGGGAGTTTGGCCTACGTGAGCAGCTTTGGAATCTCTCGGCTCGTACGAGACGTGCCCCGTTTCCTTTCATCCTTTGTTACATTCCACTTTATTTCTTCTAATGACATGGAGAATCACAGTGCATAATTAATAGGAAATGAAATATTCAAATGGCCCCAAATGTAGCCGTGAGTGGAGTGCATGGACACCAGGAGTAGAGGGGATGAGGGAGGGGATGAGGGAGGGGTGACATCGAGGGAGGCTGTGAACGTTGGCATGTGTCACTTTCTGGACTTCAAATGAAGCCACTTTTAAAAGCTCTCTGGCAGGATGACAGAGCCTAATGTAGATTGTCACAATAAAACAAATTAACCAGATATTCACACAGCCTGACTTTTTTTTCCCATTCTCTCTCTAGCTTTCCCAGTGAATTGCGGAGTGAATGGAGCTAGAGATGGAAGCGTCAGAGTGAGTGGATTTTTGGATCTTTTTCTACAGTTTTTTTCAAGGTGTTTTGAAGGCTGCCTTAGCTGTTGGAGGAGTGGTAGGTTGTGATAGTGTGAAATCTGTTTCCCATGTGAATGGTGCGATTGTGATCTTTCTTGATAATACATCCAAAGTGACTGATTTGGTATAATGGGGCGTGATCATTCATGACACTTTCATACAAGTTCTGCTGCTGGTTAGTCCAACTAAAAAGATCATCATCTCAAATGTGTCACGCTATGGCCAGCAAGTTTCACCCATAAATTTGGTTTCTTTAGGCTGTAAATCTGTGCTTCTTAAAACATGTCATGTGTCAGAAAAGGCAGGTATTTGTGATCCTTAAAGACACAGCTAATGAGCTTAACCTGTCTTTTAATTTCAAACTAAATGGATTTTTGCCTCTTATCATATTTTCCACACATGGAAAATTTTAGCTTTTAAAATGGTTTAAACTGATCCTGTGTCCAGACAGAAGGATAATTATGACATGTTTGTTCTGAAGATCCTGCAGCTTCCACGTTGTCTTCCTAACATGGCGCCTTCTCACCTGACTTTCATACTGATAGGAGAAACCTATCAGCCATTGGTAGGATTTACTGATATCAGCCACTTGGGTTATTTGCTGGTGGGCTTATACCATGTAGCAAATAACCGAAGTGGCTGATCTGATTACAATCTGATCAGCCACTTAACAGTGCACTGTTAAGATAAAAGCACATCTTCTGAAGTTGTGATATTTTTCCTCCAACAGGTTCCAAAGGATTCACCTCAAACCAGATGTTGGGCTGGATTTTATTTCAATGTCCTTTGTAAAAGTTAGAGCCTCATTTTCAACAGTGGAAGATTGAAAAAGGTTATAATTTTGGAGAAAGTCTCAACATCAATATTTCCACTAAATAAGAGGCAAAAAAAATGTTTGATAGAGGAAAAGCCTGTCAGACTCTGAGCTCAAAGCGAGATGCCTGTTGGAAGTCAGTTGGGGGATCAACTAGTGTGGGAAAAAAGTGAGTTAAAATATTTAAGTGTGTATTAAGGTAATGAAACTGTTGTGCAAAAAAATTGGGAAAATGTATTGGATAATGTGAAGGGACTACTTCACATTTGAAATGGAAGTGGATTTTACTTAAAATGTCATATACATCTTGTCATAAATAATCTAGTTTCTGCCGCCATGTGGCACCGGCATGTGTTGATCCTCCAGTTTCTCTTTTATCAAATATTCAAAGGGCTCAAGTGGCCTTTTTTTGGGATAAACTTCACTGGATTCCTCAAAGTATTCTATTTCTGTTGAGAGAAGAAGGTGGATAAGGCCTGGTCCATTTGGCCAAGAAAGTTGCTGCTTTTCATTTTCTGTTTATTCAGACACCACTCACAGGACCCACAGATCTGCTGTGGAGGAGTATATCATACTGCATTCTTTGGACATTTGGTGGCATGGGTCTGGATTTGTCTCTCTGTCTGATGGACACCAGCAAACTGAACTCTTCCTCTTCCAGCTTTTTCGAAGAGTGTTTTCTCTGAGTGGGCTTTGTTGAGGAAGGAGAGGCAGCAGCAGGCTGAATCTGCACTGGCTGCTCCAGGAACTGGTGCTAATTGGGAGTTTGTTGGATTGCCCTATTTGGGGAAGAACAATCTTATCCAGACTGCTCCACTACAAAAGTATATTGCTTTGGGAGGGTGGCTGGACCTCGACTGGATGACCCTATTTATTCAAATAGATTTTGAATAAAATCTATTTGAATTGTTGGTCAACTTTTGAGATACTGGAAACACAAGTTAAGTAAACATGAATGTTCCCTTTTGACTGATTATTTTAAAAGTATTGTTACCAAATCACCGGGACTCTTTTCCATCCATCAGACTGTTTCCTGGGATAAAGAACAGCTCTGGTCCTGGATTTGGTAGACAGTAAAGCACTCTCCCTAGAAATAGTTTCTGGAAAAATTATCAATAGACTGTTAAAAACTCTCAAGCAAAACACACTGAATGATGCAGTGACAGTATGGAGAACTCAGCTCTCGTTAACACATCAGATCAAACCTGAATGGAAATCTTTATATCAGCCTCCTCTAATGAAGGAACAAGCAGATAAACAATGGAGAATCCTTCTTGGTATTGTAGCTGTAAATTCTTTTTTTTCTGTTATTAATCCTGCTGTGGGGGAACGGCATTGTTCTGTGAATAGACTGTTTTGTTTTTCTGACTGTTTTCATCTGTCATTTCTTTTTATGCTTTTGAGAACGACCTTCAACAGATGGGGGGAAGCTTTCATTAAACATATATTTATTTGTGGTTTTACATTTCCATGCAGTGGAAGAGTAAATGTCTCTTTCACTTAGCCTATCTCATTTTTTTATTAGATAGGCTAAACGTACATAAGCAGAAAGAGAGATCGAGGAAGAATTGAACATTGATGTGGTTTCTTTATTTGTTAACATGGTGAAGTCTCGGCTATTGCTTGAATTGAATTTTTATAGATCAGACTTAGATACACTTTGTCACATCTGGAGTTACAGAGAAGTCATTTGTAGTGTGGTTGAAGGAGAACGCATTTTTAGGACGGATGTTAATGTCATTTATGGTATAGTAAGATTCTTTGATTTTTGATGTTAAATAGGCTGTGGTACGTATTTATTGAAAAATAAATAAATGATTAAAAATAAAAAAATCTTTCTCTCTCATACGAAGCCATCTCTGAGGAATGTTTTTATCTTCCTTACTGCTGACTGGCTGGGACTTAAATTAAATGCACACAACTATACAGAGGTATTAGAGTTTAAAGGCATCAGAATTTACTTTTTAAAATGTTAAGTTTTTGCTTTCATCTGGGTTTATTCTGATTTTTTTCAAAGAGTTGTTGGGCTGAAAAAGCTCACTGGTTTTGAATTGGGAAGTTTTTATGTGGTTCACTTCACTAGAGGGCACTGTAGTGTTTCTCTGACCTCTAACTGGACGTTAAATAGAAAAGGGGTCTTGACCTTTAACAAAAACCCAACGGGTTCGGATCCCCATCCCCTTCCACCCTGTGGACGGATTTAGAGCTTTCATTTTGATCAATATAGTAAGGATAGGTATGTCATGTTTTTCTTCACAGATAAAACAAATACTCATGCTGTTTAAAGCAACATTCGGTTCCAGTGTCGGTTGTTGCTGTTGGCGTGTGCACTGAAATCTGCTCCACGTTAGGAGCTCCTCCTCATCTTTCCGCTGACTCTGCGCCGTGGTCTCTCTCCAAGGTTGGTCGGACTTCCAACCTTGAGAGACTTCTGAAGCAGCATTAGAAAGTCTGATGTACTCCTTTTTTGTTTTTGATTTGGAATACTTTTTTTTGTCAGAGGCCTGCAGCGGTTGCCAGGTTTCATGTGGAAGCGCTTAAAGTTGTGAGCGTTAACACCTTGGTGAGCCGCTCATACCGCTGAACAAAGGCGGCTTTGTGGAGACTCTCCTCCCAAATGTTTTCTTAACATGTTCCAAGCAGTTTGAGCAGGCAACTAAAGTAAACAAGATGTTGCCATGATAAAAACACTTGTAAAAACAAGAGCTGAGTGCACTTAAGAGTTTTTTTTCTTTATGCAGAGTTCTGCCGGGCACACCAACTTGAATTCTCCCTTCGTTCTATAAATAAAGGGTGAGGCAATGTCAGAATACAATAAATACTGATAGATTTAAGCCGACACTCCCTGATTTTAAGTGTGCCTGTCTTTGTGGGAAAATATGAGCACATGCTTTAATAACTATGTATTGCAGGATGTTTATTAAATGAAAGTAAGAACACATAGCAGACAGTTTTTTCCCTGAGACAGGAACTGAGGCGACTGTACCTTCCAACGTGATAAGGAGGTTCAAAGAGGATTTATGAAAATGATTAAAAGAAGATTTAAGATGTTGAGGAACTTCAAGCATTTTTTCACCACCGAAAGAACTTTCTCTATGAGCTGACAGTTTGTTTTTGGATAACAGAATAATGTCATGTTTTGCTTAAGCGCAACTAATAGGAGGTGACAGCGAGCCGTTCATCTGCTGCCACTGGTGAGGATGTGTTCACCCTCTTCTGTATCCATGGCGCTGTTGTGTATTGGGTTACCAGGTTGATCAGTAAACCAGGAGCGAGGTAGGCATGTTAGGCTGGACAGAGTTGCATCACTGATACAGTACAGATTGCAAAGATGCTAGCAGACTCGACTATATCTGTGTGTTCAAGTTTAGTGTATTTTTCGGGGGGATTATATGCGACATAACAACACAAAGTGCTGTATAATTGCTTAAAGAAAGGACTAGTTATACAAGCACTTATAAATTGTTCAGCAAATGTATGCAATAAACAATGCTGTTTTTGTTTTGAGACCGTTTTCAAGTCGTAAAATGGAAATGGCATAATAATGCTTGTTGATCTCTCGAAGACGGACCAACATTTCTAACAAACATCTAACTCTGGCACTGGAAGATATTTTAAATATCCAAAATAAATAAAACAAAAATACCAGAAACAATAAATAAAATAGAAATTCTGAAAATAAAATTGTCTTTCAAAACCGCGACTAGTTATGACCAGTACACCGGACCAAATCAATGATTTTCTCTCTTGAGTAGAAAGAGAGACACGAGAAAAACAATCACACAAACAGTCAGAAATTCAATTGTTTTAATATAAGCGTATTGAGAGTGCAGTGAGAATGACTTTGTGAACAAGGAATTATGTGTAGTGTGTGTGTTTACATCTCACATGCTGCCTAGTGTGTGTCTCTGTGTCTTGATAAAAGTCAGGGTTATGTGTGTGTTTCCGGTTTGAGTGTGTGTTACTGAGCCGGTGGTTCAGCCCGTGGATGAGCTTGAGCATTCATCTTGTAGCCCTGCAGCACACTGGTTTTATTATTTTATCATAATTTTTGTAATTTTTGCAGCAACACAATGCATCAAAAGTCATCATATCAAATGCTTTGTTTACTTACATTCAGGCAGAGTTGCAGCACGTGGAGATCATACAAAAAAAGCCAGAGCAACCTAAACACCTAAGCTGCAGCCCTTATTAAAATCTTAACAGACACAAATTGGAAGAGCTTCTAAAGCCACATAAATTAAATCTCTCCATTTAATTTATTTGACCATTTGACCCTCTGTACCCGGCAGAGGTGTACAGTGGATTTAGCTCATCATGCAGGGCGGGTCCAAGATTGTATGAGGTCTTTAGCAGAATTTGATGTATGGGCCTCTTTTGCTGCTAAGAGCATCAGCACCACCAACAGCATTTCACCATGGATTTAGTAAAATCTGAGACACGGGCCATTGCTTAAAAGTAATCAGTAATAACTGCAATTTGCTGAGATGTATTTATGAGCAAACAGAGCTCAAATTCAAAAGTTAAACTGACAGCATAAAATGGTTTCTATGGTGGTAAAACAATCTAACTATGAAGATTGTTCTTTGAACTTATACAAACAAACTTGCCAGGTCCTTAAAATCTTAAACTTAAATGTTAAACTATTTAAAATCTTTTATCTATGCTGAAACAGCATAAATAACAGCATTGACATTCTCATGAAACAAATGTTACATTTCCATATCTGTGTTTAAATTTCATTTTTTGATTTGTTGTTTTCAAGGCCCTATAATTGTGGGTTTAAGTATTGTCTGCAATATTTTCCAGTAACATAATTAACCAGCGATATTTTTACATTTCCTGTCAACTTAACATCTTTGAACTTGTGGACCGCCTCAGTGCCAGGGCCTGCTAAGCCCCAGGCAAACCCTGGGTTGGTATTGATTTTGTGGGAAAATCTCCCACCCCCAAAAAACCAGAAAGAAAACTTGGGGCACAGATGAAAAGCAGGAGATTCATGAGCCGAACAAAGGACAAACTAAAAGAAAAATTTGGAAAGCACTCCCTCTGACCGGTGACAAGGGCAAACAGGCAGGGCTCCCTGAGCGATCTGCCACAGATAAACATCCCACCGTTGTTTGTTTGGGAAAAATGGCCCCTGGTCACCATGGGAACTGCACTTATCACAGGAATTAAAGGCCCATGCAGTTCCCAGAAGGAGTCCCCACTGCATTGCCCTTTTCAAGAGCAGGCTAACCCAGACTGAGGAATAACAAGCGGCTGCACCTGCAGTGCATCTGCGTAGCCAGGGGTCACAAAACATGTAATCGACCCCCCCACTCCCTAGAAAAAGACAAACAAACTGAGACAGAAAACATACCTCTGACCGTGGCAATTTACTTACTTGAGGAATGACTGGAAATCATCAAAAACAGCTTCGCACCCGGGCCACTTGCAGACGCCATGGCCGTAGAGAGGGTGACTGTGGGGGGATAGCTCCTCCAGCGCTGACCTGCAAGACAGAAAGAAACTTTTGATTAAAAACAGTCTCAATTTCTTTTCACTCAGAGGTTGAGAAAAAAGATGACAGTTTGAGTTGTTAATCCAAATCATCTCTGTGTGTACTCTGTCTTTTCACAGAAAAAGAATTGACTTCTACTTGATCTGTGAACTTTGGCCTTTGCCAGAAGTGCCTTACCTGTGCGATCATTACTCTTCTTTGATTTAAAACAGGGTGACACTCATTGTGTGAGCCTGACCAGATCAATACATAATTATTTAGAATCACTGAAACACATTGCAATTCTCTTTAATCGGGACGGTTTCTTCCCTGGCTACTGTGTCACATCCAAGAGGCCCCCCACCTGGCGGAGGCCTATGACACAATCCGGACCCTTCCACAAGGAAGGGAAGATGTAAACATCCGCACCTGGCACCAATTTATCTCCCGACCCAATTCATGTCACCTGGGGGGGCTGACAAGAATAGGTCTACTGGGAAAGATCGGTACTATCAGTCTAAATAGCAGGAATGTCGCTGAAAAACAAACATTACAACATCTTCCATATGGCGCAGAGGTGCGTGCGGAACCACAGCTAACCACAATCAGAACTGAGAAGAGGCAGCGGTGTCTGCTAGAAAGGCGGGACAGGCAGCCATATGGACACAAGACACACAACTTTCAAATACAAGAGCCTGGGGGACTGGCCTACATTGCTGCCACCTGTGCTTCTGGCGGATGGCGAGTGAGCCAAAAGCACAATGCTGCTGCTTCTTCTCCAGCGTGAGCCTGTGCTTTTAAGACAGAAGGACAAGATAAGGAGATTCATGGCACAAGAAACTGTTGTGTTCCCCACATGAGAATAACCCTACCTCATTGATATGCATGTATTCAATAAGAAATAATGCCCAATTTGTGCTGAACCACTTCACTGGATTAGGATTTGGAACATGATTCATGTTTGAAAAAAAAAATCTAAAAACAAATTGACAAAATAAAAGTGGAAATTACAAGATTGTGCTTATTTGGCAGGATTAAGCAAGCATTTAAATTAAAGCATCATTTGGGTCAGTGTTCGCAAAGCTGCATGTCAAGGAGGGAATTTTAGAGGTCAGCTCAGGTTTTCTTGTGTTATAATTACTTACTTAAGAGTTCACATTGTTCATTACATGCAATAATTGTGTAGCAATTAGGAAGCAGTCAAGCATTCATAAACCCGGTTAGTGAATTTTTTTTTCCAGCCTCTTTCAAATATCTGATTTTTAAAATTCAATTATGAATTATGCATTCACATTCAGACCTCTGTCTTGATACACATGATAAGTAGATGGCAGACAACCAATTATAATGAGTTTAACAAGGAAATGTGCAGCCTGGTGCAGGTGATGCTGCTTTTTAATTTAAAAAGATCTATTATTTTTCCATTCTTTAAGAGGGAGGCTTGTTGGTTAATTCTGTATTAACAAAATATTAAAATGCAGAGTGTGCAAGGAATCAGAGAACACAAAGTGCTGTGATTGGCTGGTGGCAGAGGAGACTTTTTGAACCGTGGCTGCCTAAACAGTGATAAAATACCAGAATTTACGTCACATGAGCTACATTACTCCAATCAGAGAAGAGTGCAGCACACACAGGGTCTCCTGTCATTACAATCCAACCAGAGGAAAGACATAATTAACCAATGTTTTTACAGGATTTTGTAGTTGATCTATGACGTTGCTATCACAGGTCAACAACAAAACCCTGAAAAAAACAGCAGTTAATCATGTTGATATGGTTGATATGACCCAGGTGCGTGGGCTCAAACCCACGTACCAATTCAAAATGTAATCCTTACAGACCAATTAGCAGGTTTTATAACGTCCTGAATATTTAGTGAAGAACATTCATCTTGAAAATGTGTTCACTCAAGTCAAGTTTTAATAGTACAATATTTCACAAATCAGAAAACAACAAAACACTGACGTAGTGTTTTGTTGCATCTGATTCCATAGTTTGGTGCAAGGATGTTTTATTGTTTTCTTGTTACACTTCCAATGTTTTTCATACTCAAATCTTCTCAAATATCTAAATGTGCAGTTTGTGAGCTTATCTTTAATTTGTTTGGAAAGATGAAGAAATATGTTTCAAGCCTCTTAAAATGGTTGAAACAGATATTTCTGTAGACCTGACAAACATTGGCAGTTTCTGTTTCTGTTTCAAACTGCCACTGAAATCTTAGAACTATTCTTAATTTAGGAAATAAATTAAGACCAGTTCCATTCTTAGTTCAGAAACTATAGTTTTGGTGGTACAGGATCAGATTAAATCAATTTTTTCAACTATTGAATCACTTTTGAAATGTGAAATATTGAGCATTTATTTTTATGATCTTAGCAGGAGACTCAAAAACCAAACTAATGTTAATGTGACTGGTGGCAAATAAAAGTTTAGTGATGTTATTTAAATTTTAATTAATTAACTTTTTATACTTTTGAAACAGATAAAAAAAAGATATAAACAGCCCAATATATTAAGTTCATGACAAAGTTCAAACAAAGTTCAAAAGAAAACTTATTTGGTTTTCCAAAACAGAGTAAAGGTTTTACAGAACCCAAGTTTGATTAGTCTAAGTATGGTGGATTAACCTGTAGAAGCAAAAATGAACACCTATTAGCTATTAAAATAGGTAGTTATAAGCATTTTTAAAAGTGCTGTCAAGTATTTGACTACTTCAGCTATGTACCGCAGGCGGCAGTCCCTGACCCCGGAAAATATTGGAATAAATTCGGTTTTGAGCTAAAGAGTGTTCAAAAATAGCACTCTTTTGTACCAAAAAATGCTGCCACACAAACAATTCAAAAGATATGGAGGTTTTTCCAAAAGGCTTTTCTCACCATACAACAGGGCACAACTCAAGGACATTTCTGTCTTACTTCAAAATAAGACTCTCAAAGTGAAAAAATAGATTAAAGACAACTATTAAAGTTTTTACACCTTTGCTTAAAACAATGATGAAGAGAAGGTTAAAGGAGAAGTTTCCACCTGGGACACAGTGTCAGACTGACTAGATGACCCTCCATGAGACAAACGTTTTAGCATTTCAGCATTGCAGGAACTCATTAGACCTTTCCTACAGGTAATTGTTTTCCACCAAATTCTGTTCATTTCTCTTTTTTACTCCAAATGTTGAAATTCAATCAATTTCCAGACCATGAAACATTAAGTAGTAATCCTCTATTGTCTTATTTTTAAGCATCTTTGTTGAGAAATACTCTAATGACGGCAGCAGTGAGGTGAAAACTTGCATTGCCCTCAGCTTCCTTTAGAGGACCAAGATGTCCACATAGACTCTCACTCTTTTCTTTGAAGAGAATGTACTCAGACGATTCTGACAGCTGGAGGGCAGTTGTTTTCAAGCCCACTTACTTTGAATGGACAATTTGGGCCATAAATAAGTCAAGATCTACAGCCTCCCATTCTGACAGACTCAATCCGTCAGGAAGAAGGGAAGATTGAAGTCAGATAGAGGGCCCTGTCGATACATCAGGTTCAGGTTTATATTCTGCCCCCTCCAGTTCACTCCCTCTTTAATGTTCTAGATCTTTCCTGGATTCATCCCTCCTTCTGGTACCACTGCAAGCTACCCTAAATGATTTAATTTGCTTTTTTTTCTTGTGTAAGACAAATGAAAGGCATGAGAGAGAGAGATGGGAAGCACTGCCAAATCTGATTATTTATCTCCTTAACAGACTGCTGTGTTACAGTCCCTGAGCTGTTGTTACTGATGGTTGTTGGGAAGTAAAGTGGGCCAAGTGCTTTGTGAAGACACCCCTCCCTCTTTACCTCCCTCTTTGCAAAGCTGATGCAGCTCTGGATTGGGAATTGATGTCAGATACAGATCAGGCATTTGATTTAAATAAGCAAATCAGTGAATAAAGATGACCCCGATCACTGGGGTATATCGCCATCTATGCATCATGCATTCATTGACAGGGAAACAACACCGCCTGACAGATAAAGTGACTCGGGCTCTGGGTCGTATCAGGGACGGTATTTAAACAAACACACCTCCCCGCCTCTCACCTCTCTCAGCGTGTTCCTAGCAACAACTGAAAGCATGAGGAACACATGCCCTGTCTTCAGTGTGTGTCAAGTTGAGCTGTGATTGAATTTCTCAGTCTTCCTTAAGACGGAAGTGCAAAGCCCCATGAGTGATTCCTGTGGATGCACTTAAAGGTTTTAGTTGCAGGCGTCGTTGTGCCTGGGCAGATTTTTATATGACACATGAAACTAAGTACATGGTACTTAGGGCCTGCTGTAAACTAATCTGAAGTCAGTCAGGGAAGGAAAAACCAGGGGCCCCTGTCTTGCAGAGTAGCTTGTTTCTGTGGCATGACAAAGGGACTCGAGCAAAGCTGCATAAATTAAAAGTTCATTAAGTTCAGTGCGGGGAGGATGAGTGGATGTTCTCTATTTACGCCCAGGATCGGCCCAGCCCCATTATCTTCAACCTGATTATTCAAATCCCAGGATTATAACACAGACGTTCTTCTCAGAGCCTTGCTTAGAATAATCATACTTAATAATATTTCATTCTTCCTCCCATGGAGTTTGATTAGAACTGAGCACGCATCATCAAAAGAGAGCCAGGACGCTTTTTGATACTTGCATGATTTATGTGTTGCCAAAATTAAAGCGAGAAAGGATTATTGGTTGTGCATGGATCTAAATTAGCATCATGCAGTACTTAATGGGGGAATGTTTTGTAGCTTACTTTATTCCGGCACAGCTTTCCTGGTAATTTGAGCAATTTGAAAGTCTGCATGGGTAATTCAGTCCTTGAACAGATGGGGTGTGGGGAGAATCACCTGCTCGTTTTTTTGACAGATCTAAAGATGCTACGAAAATATTCAGACCAAGACTGCCTTCTTCACTTAAGCTCGTGTTAAACTGCCACTGACATCTTCTTTAATCTCTGACAGTCGGCGTGAGGCAGCAGTGCTGCCTGCCGGCTCTTGCTTTATGTCTTTTCTTATGTTTCATGGAGCCTTAAAGCTCGAGTTGCTTCCTGCCATTTGCTGCCATCAAAGCTCACCTTGCTTTTGCGACAGTGTGTGATGGAGTTGGTGAGTCAATATCGTCCTCAAGCAATTTGTCAAACCACAGACATTCAGTTTGACAATGAAGGGCTGGAACTCAGTTTTATTGACGGAACAGCGAATGCTTAGATTTCACTTTACTCCAGTTTAGACTTCAAAGAGCAGCAAATAATAAAAATCTACCAGAGCTGTTGTTATACTATTACACATAGCACTTACAAGATTGGAGAATCACAGAGATGATTCCTGTTTGAATGACAAGATTTCGCTTAGGGATGCACTGATTGCAGATGGTCACTGATCTCCAAAAAATCAGACGTGCCGATTCTGATTTTGCCCGATACAGCTTTTGTGTTGGCCGCTTTTTTCTCTGAATTGTCACTTTGTGACAAAATGTCTAACTTTGGAACAACTTAGCTACTAAAGTTACCTTAGCTTTAGTTAGCATTTTAACCGCCTACAGGCCTACAATGCAACTTTTTAACCATCCACAAGTTGCATTTCCTTTGACGACATAATTGGGCAATTTAATGTTTCAATAATATGTGTGCTTCATGGAAACTGCCAAATTGGGAAAAGCAACCGTGACATTTTGATAAAACTGGCACTATGATGAGTGTTTTTTTCGCCTTATCAAAATTAGTTTTATGTCACAAAACGGCAATGAAAATACTTTTGTCACATAATAGAAGTTACATGATCAACAACCAGATGTTACTGCAGGCGTGGCGTAAAGCACAAAGATGAGGATGACAACAAATGGAAGGAGGATGATGACGTTTTTTTAATGATGAGTGAACAAACGTAACGTTTTCGTGCAGATAAGATTTTTGACCTTCTTTTTGTCAAAAAAATTTGAAATGGTGGTGTTTCTATTGAATAAAAAAAATGCTTTATTTACATTTTTGATTGTAGGACACAAGTCTTTTTCCTAAAAAGACCTGGTGGCTTACTGCTAACAGCTAATAGTTTTGATGAATATAGCTGGCTTTGGAAATTTTAGCCATACATATCCTTGCTTTGATGGTGGCACTAGTGTTGCACATTATTTATTTCCACAGAAAGTCATGGATTGTTCATTTGTTCATTTGCTAGAAAGTGTTAAAACACTTTTAAAAAGTCTCATACTTTTGTGAGGCTTATGTATAAATGGAAAGTCAAACGCAGCAGCGAGTCGTGCAAAAAACAATATTTCTGATCATACAATTATACAAAGGATGTGACTTGAATTTTTTTTTTTAGATGAAACAAAAAAAAAGTCAAGTAATTTCAATCTTATCATGCAGCAGAACACCAGTGTGACATTCTCCATTGTGTGCAGTTGTGAATAAATGTGACTGTGATCGTTTTATTTTTTTTTCCCTTGGCTATTCAGAGAACATCCTCTTGATAATCACTCCCCACCAGCATCCCCCAACCTCTTCACCTCTACAGGCCACCTGACTTACTTTGCTAAATATGTGTTCATCTGCATCACTTTCATACTGACACTTAGGTTTTGATCACTGAAACACAAGTCAGATATTCAGCGGTGAGCTCATGGTGCCTGGAGGCTCCTCGCTGACAGTTCAATGATTACTCTTTTGTGCAAGAAAACAAGCAAGTGTGTAAATGCCAAATTAATTCCTTCCTTAAAGACACATTTTCTCTCTTTCTCACATATGCACTCTACTCAGAATCAAATGCCTGTCATAATGAGTTAAATTTTTATCTGGTGCGGTTGTGTACTGTGTATTGCACTGTGTCAAACAAACCAAATCCTTTGAGAAACTTGTTACTCTCCTCGCCTGCGGTGGCATTGCTCCAAGAACCACAGAAGAAAACAAAACAAACAAACAAAAAACAGATGCTGAGAACAACTTCCTTCTTTGCAAAATGTAAAAAAAAAAAATGAAGTGGCTGTCACTTCATTTGTACATGAGTTGCTGGCTCATGTACAAATGAGCCAACAGCATAATGTTGGCTCATTTGTACACGTGCTAAAGGAAATACTTACAGGGATTTGGCACAGTTTAACGGGGTCTGAATACTTTCTGTACCCACTGTACACTATTAGTTAATCTCATAGGAGATGTAATCATTATAAAAATAAAAATTTTTGTCCATGAGGAGCTGAGCAGAGAACATGTTAACATACATATCTAACAGTCCATCAAATTTTTGAATGAATTATAATCCTTGAACAAAATTATGACAATTATTATCCATTAAGAGAATTATAACATTTTCCAAGAATACAAATCCTTTTATAACATGTAGTATTTTAGTTAATATGAACTTTACATTTTAAGAATAATGCAGAATCATTTCTTCAGTGCATGCACAAATGAGTCAACAGTACACACTGTGCTTCAAGTACAGATTGGGCAATGATAGTGGTGTTTGATTTTAGCAGTGGGAAATCTCTCTATTGTTTTTGTAAAATAACACAAGACATTTCTTTCATTAGCCCTGGACTACTGCGTTTTTTTTTTTTGTTGTATTTGGTTTTATTTATCCAGAATGCCCCGCGCTTTGCCACTTCCTGATTTTGGGGCAGATTCTGATCTGCTTGGCATTCACAGATGCAGTCGAACTGCACCAGAGTTCACTTCAAACTGAACAGAGATCTAGGATTTTAGGCAGACCACAGTTCACTTTTTTGGTCCGAGATGGTGTTCTCCCCAAACAAACTGGACTTTCTCGCCAAACAAACTAGAGTTGAATTAAAGCAGACTAAAAAAGGTGGGTGTGAATGCATCCTTAGAAAGAATCAATAAAAGAATATGTTTTTGTATTTAAAAAAACTCCACCACCTAACATTGTAGTCGCAAATGAGACTTACCCATCTCTTTTGTGACTCATGTACTGGCCGTTGGTGGCAGCATGTTGGTTGAGGACCGGGTTCTTTGGTGGCGCCGAAGAAGACAGGTCGAGGCCCCGGTGGCCATTGTTGCTGCTGCCGTTGTTGCGTTCCTCCTTTACATGGGCATTCGTCACCTCTTTCCACAGTTGCTGGAGCTCTGCTGGAATCATGCCTGAGACAAACAAATTGGATAATTAAATCAATTAGCAGTTAATCCAACTCTTCTTCATTGCCTAATTAAATCAAAGCGTCTGTAAACAAAGCTGCAGTATTAATTAGGAAATACTCCACTACAGGGTACAACAAGAATCTCAACATCCCTTCCATCTGCTGCCTTCATCTCTCTTTCCATTTTCTTTTTCAATGTGATTCAAAGCGTGTTTGTATACACAAATCCCTGGCATTCACGCAAATTTCATGCTTAGAGTAAATTAACATCCAGACAAGGCATGAAATCTGAATAATCATCGTCACTGTCTCCCAACAACAGAGATGTGAAGAAGAAAAAACAAAAGACTTTCAGAATAGCAACACTGGAAAACATCCCAGCCTCTGTCTCCTTGAAAAACAAGACCCGGGGGTAATATTCTCTCAAGCACATTAATGTGCAAAATACTTAAGGCTTTGCACCGCCTCCAATTGACACAGATGACTTAAACCTCATTTAACGAGTCAAGCACGCTGTGGCACTTGTACTGCTTTGAAAAAAAAAAAAAAGAAGTAAAAATCACCTGAAGACAGGGAGGATTTTTTCTGTTTGCTGGAAAGGTGTCGACAGGATGTATGTTTTCAATACCTGCAAGTGATGGCGGACACTCAGGCTAAGACCAAGAATTGAGATGAGATAATTTATTCAAATTACTTTCAGTGTCATGAAGACGGCAGACCCAGTTTGCAGATGCATCCGTCTTTGGACTGTCTGATTCTCCGAGTTAAAAAATTACAGAAAGGAGGATAAATTGATACAAAGAATGAGGTAAGATCAAAAAAAATTCAGAGGTGACTAGGAGGATCCAGTGCAAAAGTATTCATACAGGTTGAGGTTTTCTGCAGTTTGTCAAGTTACACCACACATTTTGGGGTAAAGTTTCTGTACTTTTTACTATCATACCATTGAATAAAGACTATTGCAACCTCAGTAGTGAATAAACAAAGTCATGAGGACCATATATTGGCATCTGCATGATATCAAATGATTTATATTTCTATCCTGACACTGATATTGGCCTGAATTTTCATATCAGTGCATCCTTAGTGGAGAACCTGCTATGTAAACCTCCCTGACCTCATGCTAACCACTAAGAAACAAAGTGGTGGGAGCATTTATGCTACTGGGATTCTTTTCTTCAGGTGACAAAAAGGAACTGGTCAGAATTAATAGGGCTGAATGCAATGCCGGAAAAAAGAGCTGAGACTAAAAATGCAAGGAACTGGAGTTTAGGACTATACCCTTCAACAAAGACACAATTTAAATAGTTTGTATAAAAAAAATATTACAAGTGAGACTTGTATAGTTAAAGTTCAGATCTGTACTGAAAATTGATCTGACACTCTCCATTCACTCTGACGCAATTAAGTAATTCTGAATTAAAGACTGGCGTGTAATTTATGTTTCTAGATATTTGAAGCTTATGCACACATATGCAGACTTGCAGCTGTTAGTTAAACAACACGTGGTTCTATTAGGTACTAAATCAGAGGGGCTGGGTGGAAATGCAAACCGACACAGTGGATCCTTCACCTTTGCACAATTATACCCAACTCAATGTCTAATCACTTCAAATCTCCCCCCCAAAAAAGGCACACACATCTGAGGTTGAAACAGGAAAAAATATGGACAGGCTTCTTAGGTTTTGAATACTTCTGCAAGGCTCTGTGTCTGGATTGTTTTTTTTTAATCTGTAAAACAAGACACATATGTTTTCGGTGTGGTGACGGAAGCTTGCGGATATGTGGTTGGTTGGACTGCAAAGTAAATGGGAGAGACCATTCATCAAGAATTACAATTAATTAAAGTCATTCTCAAAATGAGCACTGCCAAATGAAAGATGATTTGCACATGATCCCCCTTTTACCCACGCCCCCACTTCTCATCAACATCCCTACAGATAGCCGAAGTGCTCCTTTCAAGCGCCAGATTGTTAATACATTGTCTGCAAAATGCTTAGTCTTAATTTATTCCTGTTGTGAAAAATAACTGAGGTGAAGATCTCAATGCGATCAGCAGAAAAACATTTTTAATATGATAAGCTACTAAAGATTTTAATTACACTGGTTAATAGAGAACATTGGCCTAATGAGGCGCAGGACTCGGAAGAGACATGAGGGCCTAAGGACTGTAAAATGATTCTGATAGGATTGCTGTAAATTCACACTAGATCGTTTGCATATCAAAGAGGAGGAACTGATTGCAGGACAAATCAATAACCTTTCCACGTTCCAAGCAGCGTCTTTCCTCATCCCCGTATCTCGCCGCTCTCGCTCTATTCTGTCTGCCTGTATTCGCCCTTATTCCCCTCAATGCCTTGATGTGCCTTAATCGAAGCGCACGTCTATGACAGGCTAAACATGCTTAACATTGCTGCCTGTGTTACGGCATACTAATAGGCCGCTTGATTTCCAGCTTCAATATTTATAGATACCTCATTGTTTTTGGTGATGTAAAGACATTTGGGAGGAAAAGTTGTTTTTTCCTTCAAAGGGCTTCGAAGGGGAAGGTCAACACTGATGTGAGTGTCCAATGCTCTGACAGCGGGGGCAATCATTTCCTCTCCATACCTACTCAGTTCTCGGTGACAGTGGGTGATGTATTTTTAGCTGGTTTGCTTGACGGGGCAGCCCAACATCAGCTCAATTACCCAGCAGGCCAGGTGACCCCCTCTGACTCCGCTGTTTTGTCAGATGGAACCACGGCAGATCGACCAGTGTGATGAGAGAGCCAACGGACTGAGACCAACGTGCCACCGGCTTTATTACTCTTTGTTCGCACCGATCTAACCCCCTAACCTCCTGAAATCCCAACAACAGCTATACCTCATGATCCCTCATAAATGACAATAAAAGATCATTACACAAATATCTCCCCGGGTATTACATTTTGCGTTTTCTTACATCTGATTACTGCAGGACAACATAATGACATTGGAGTGAGGAATCTTTTTCTTCGCTGCCCAGTTTTGTGCAGATTGGTTTATCTTTCTTCTTTCCATTTTTCAACACAACTCTTCCGGCCTATTACGACTGGGAAATACGGACAAGCACTTTAAAAAATGTATGTTGTTGGAACACTTGATTGATCACTGCCCCCGCAACTCAATTTTACCTCTGCAGGTAGCTCTGGCACAGAGACAGGCCGAGCTCTTCAACCTTTTCCTGTCCTTGTCCTTGGGTACCCAGGTGACCATGTTCAAGCAAGCAGAAAGTTGATTTAGGGTTCATAATGACATCAGTTGCAGGCCATCATCCCCCAAAATAAAAAATGGCCCCCCAGTGCATTGGGCTCTGTGAACCGCACTGTTACTTCTCACATGTGGAGCATCGGTACCATGGCGGGGAGGACAGTGACACCGCAATTAGTTTATTGTTCCAGCCGACTGGGACCTTTACTGCACCCCTGTTTATGTTACCGTAATCACCGGCCTGCTGATACGCACCCCCCCTTTGCTCTGAAATATGTCCTGTCTTAATGCGGCAGGAAGTATTACCAGTAGCCCAGTGTTGGACGTATCAATCACTGACAGGTCAGCCGCATTACCCGACACGGTCCCCGACGTGCCGCTACTCTACGTGCACTTCATGGCTTGCCACATTCTTTGCTTTCGTCCTACCAGCAAATTTGTTTTGTCACTGTCCTCGAGCAATTTGAATGACGTTGTACAGGTAGAGGAACTCTCTCTCTAGTGGTGTAACCTCTGAAGGTGTGTTTAAAACACTTTGTTGAAACACGTGACACATGGACAGAGCTGTAGAAAAAAGTTTTCAGAAAAAAATATTTACCCTTTCGGATTTGGTATGTTTTTCTTTGTTGGCACACTTAAGGAATGCCCTGATTAAAGAAAGATAACAGAATTGAAATAAAGTAACTTCTTTCAGTCTCAAAGAAAAGTTTGAAAGCCATCTCAAAGGCTTTAGGATTTCTGTGAATTACAGTGAGAGCCATTATATACAACTGGTGAAAAGATTAAACAGTGTTGAATGTTCCCAGGTACAACTCATCCAGACCGCAGTACAAAACAGGAAGTGACAGTAACTTCTTACTGAAAGATTGGGCTTCAGCCAAAATTTTAAGATATGCTACTGGACTCTTACTGAACTGGATGGATGGATATTTGGAATATTTGCCAAATGCGCTGTCAAGTGGACGAAGGCTGTATGATGTTGCTTTCAGTTTTAATTTTGGTTCTTGTTTGTCTTATATGTTTTTAAATAATTTTCTAAAATTTGTTGTTAATTTACCCCACTGTGGGACAATAAAGAATCTTTCTATTTTATCCTATTTTATGATTATACAGGACAGAGTAAAACAAAACAAAAAAACTAAAAAAAATTGGAAAAATACCTTTTCGAACGTGTGCATTGCATCACATCTTGGGTAAAGATACAACAGTATATCAAAAAAATAACATGGTGAAGGTAATATTTTGGTCTGGGCCCACTTTGCTGCCCGCAGAAGGTCATGGAATCATGAATTCTGCTCTATATCATAGAATTCTGAAGAAAAATGTCCAGCTATTGGGAGCCAAGGGGATTTTAAAAATCATGTTTTAGAGTGGCCTTGTCAAAGTCTGGATTTGTTTTCTTCTCAAAAACCCTCCAAATTGTCTCAATTTAAAACAACTATCTATCTCTTCATGCATGACATTAAAATTTGTTAAATGAACTCAAATATTTATATGTGCCAAAAAAGACTAAAATACTTTTCAAACCACCTGAGCCACAAAAACTCACTTATCAGGCTAACAAGATGAGCTTTTGTGAGGTGAGGGAAAAGAGTGTCTGTGGAGAGGGGGGCTGGGTGTGTGAAGGGGTACTGCTCAGATCAAATTCATATTTATGAGAGTTACATCCTAACTAAGCACACTGCAGTAATTTATAACAGATACCGTCTGGCTGCCTCCAACACTTTGAGCATTAATGTCAAAGAAATTTACAACAAGAGTGACAAATTATACA